AATATACGATTTCAACACAATATACGATTTCAACACAATATACGATTTTAACACAAACACAACGTACTATCCGATACTAACACAAAGTAATTAACTTTAATATTACATAACTAAATAAATTTATTACAACTGATTACAACAATAATGATCATTGGTGGCGGGAACTACATCCATGACTAATATTCGGACATGTCTTCCTAGTGTGACCAGGAGTGTGACAATAAGAACAATTTTTGACATGAGTATGTTGTTCTCTAATATCCATCTCTGTTCTAATCCTGGTGGACTTTGGTCGACCCTTCGAAGTTCTCTTCAGTTCTGGATTTGGCCACAAAGTTGGACCAGTGTAAGTAGGCCAATAATCTTCATGTCGAAGCTCTCCAAACTGTCCTTCGTATACCTTTGCAACTTGTTGTAAGGTATATATGGGAGATATGTACCTTTCATAGTCATGATGTGCATGTAAGCATGAAGCAAGCACATGTGAGCAAGGGATATGAACTTTTTGGAACTTGCCACAATCACACCACAATTCATCAAGCCTTACCGCAAATCTCCCAGCTGGTCGAACTTCTCTCGAATGTTGCGTTTCTTCCACTAGAAATCTACTGCTTGATCTGTCAAAGCTGATAACTCTATGAGTATTTGCCTTAGACTGTGCATCTTGAATAGTTTTATTTGCAATTTCCGAGTAGACATGTCCTGCATTAATCATTGCGCCCACTTCCGTACCTCTTTGAACGAAAAACTTGTTGCAACGAGTGTATGTGGCCATTACCATGGAACAAATTGGCAAATTTCGTGTTTTCTTCAATACGGAATTAATTGACTCAGCTAGGTTTGTTGTCATGTGTCCCCAACGTCGTCCATTGTCCCATGCTAGTGTCCATTTTTCCCTAGGAATGTTGTCTAACCATTGAGCTGCTTCAACATTAGTATCTCTTACTATGTTGTAATAGTAAAAGAATCTAGGTTCAGTCATCCCGTAGGCTGCAAAATAATAAAATTATTAAATAATTAAAAGTAATAATCAAATGCTTTAAAAAAAGTAATGATAAACTTACCCATATTGACGACATCCTTCTTTAGTGCTGCATTTTTGAACCGTCGCATGAAATTTTGTGCAATATGTCGAATACAATAGACATGAACAGAATTGTTTTCCGTCCAGCCACTTCCATTTCTTGAGTATGCACTTCGAATAGCTTCATGACGATCAGAAATAAGGCACAACCCATCTTGCGGTGTTACATACCGCCTCAAGTTCTTCAGAAAAAAAAACCATGCATCACTAGTTTCACCTTCAACAACAGCAAATGCAATAGGAATTATGTTGTTGCGACCATCTTGCGCAACTGCGACCAATAGTGTACCTTTATATCTCCCATATAAAAATGTACCATCCACTTGTACAATTGGTTTGCAGAAGGCAAAACCATCAATGCATGGTTTAAAGGTCCAAAATAACCTTTTGAAGATAACACTCCCCTCGTCCAATAATTCACCTTGGTAAGCCGGTTGCGTATTTAATTTCCAAATAAAACCTGGAACATACATTTGCATTGCTTGCAACATACCTGGTAATTTGTTGTACGACTCCTCCCAGTTTCCAAAGATATTCTCAATGGCATGTTGCTTGGCTAACCATCCCTTTCTGTAACTAATTGTATAACCCATGGTGGACTTGATGTGGGCTATGATGGTTGAAATGGATGCCGATGGATCAACCTCAATAATTTCACCAATGCTTTGAGCAATCATTTGTGATCCCAATTTATTATGATCTTGGGAGATAAGTGGGGAAACACATGTGTGGGGGCCCTCAAGGATCATGATTTCCCAATGTTGTTCCCTGGTTCGCAATATACCACGACATCTCCAGGCACAGTCGTGGTGAACGCATTCCATAACAAGCCTACTACTGCTTGAATTTTTAACCTTGTAACTGCAATGGTTGACAATGTGAAATCTATTTATGGCATCCTGCATTTGTTCTTTTGTTTGGAAGCGTTGGCCAACAAATAGTGTTCCAGGTGGATACACAACCATATCACGCTCCAACAAATGGCTATACTCACTGTCTTGTTGGATTTCATTGGGAAACTCTAAAAAGTGTGGAGGTGGGTTGTATATGGCTACTGGTTGTGGTTGTAGTGGTGGATTATTTGGAATTGGGAGGGTTTCTTCATCATCATGTTCATGTGCAGAGAGAATTTCGTCTTCGTCCTCGCTAAAAGGATCAAAGACATTTTCTGTTGGGAGACCAACAACAACATCATCTTCAATGTTGGTTTCAACATTGGGTTGAGAAGCAGAAGGTCTAGCTTGCTCAAATGGCTGAGAAGGTATTTGATTAAGGTCCATGATTGGACCACTTAAAAGCTGTGTGTATGACTCAATGTTGTAGTTGGAGGGGATATCATAAGAAGGGCCAGATGGGTTAGTGTACTGGTAACTTTGATAAACTTCGTAAGGTGAACGTGAAGGTGAAACTTGTGGTGCATGTGATTCAACTGTAGTAAATGTAGCATATAATTCAATACCTGATTGAAGTTGATTAGAATCGTGAACATTGAAAACTGCCTCAACGTCTTCATCATCCGTCAACTCAACACAGGTATAGTTACTAACCCCTGGGCCAAGTCTAATAGGGTACCGAAAATGTATGCTAGCCACCCTCTCAGAATCTTGTCGATGTAGCTTTCTGTGGATGACTCTTTGAAGCCTTTCTAGAGTAATTCCTCTGTTGATACGAACTAATTTTGCAGATGGAGAAGAGAAGGTGATTCCTTCATTCGGACATTGGTTAATGGAACCATCAGAATGAACAATAACGTAGATTGAAGAAGCCATTTTATGAAAGGTTTAAAGGAAATTAACGTGATTCTAAGAAACTGATTCAAAAGGGGTACACGGAAGGAATAAAGGAGATAAGCTAATCTGAAATCGTGTGAAAAAAATGAAGGGGAGAGGGTCTATTTATAGAAAAACGCAAGTTTTTACTGTTTACCTAGAACGGGCCGTTCCAAAACCAGAACGGCCCGTTCCAAATCAAAAAACCTTTGTAAAAACAGCTCCTGGAACGGGCCGTTCCTAAGCCGTTCCAGGAGTAAAAAAAATGTGTAAATATCTATCTTGGAACGGGCTGTTCTAAAACAAAAACGGCCCGTTCCACGTTAAAAAAATGGCCACAACAATTTGTTTAAAACGGGCCGCTTCCAACATCTATTTCAACGTTAATTCTTAACGTCGGAACGGCCCGTTCTTGTCCCGTTTCACGTTAACAAATGCCACTCTGTTTCTTTAAGCAGAACGGCCCGTTCTGATTTCGGAACGGGCCGTTCCGCTTCCAACGTCAGCCCACGTCTCCCCTGCAAACACGAAAAAAAAAAAAAATATAAAAGCAACTCAGAATTCGGTTCCCCGGGAACCGAATTCTGAGTTGAAAAATAAAAAAAAAATACATTTTGGTGCTCAGAATTCGGTTCCCCGGGAACCGAATTTTGAGCTTGAACAGTGAATAGTTCTATCTGTGTAAATAAACCTGCACAGTGGTTATTTGGGTATTTTTTTTTTAAAAAAATAATATTTAGGTAAAAAATTCGCATGATATGGTAGTGTGACCCATATACCCCCACTAGGCACGGACACTATCTCTTGCTCTGGTTGTAACTAGAATGCGCTATAAGCAGGATTGAAACGAAGCACCTCATGCCAAATCAAATTCCCCTTTCTATATAATTATAAACCCTTGAATTCCCACATGCAATAAGCTTTTTGTTACACTTAGCATGGCCCCCAGCTTAAGCAAAACCTCGGAACAACACGCACTTTCTGTGGTCCATGCCGATTCACCCTTCTCCATAACCTTAGAAGGATCGAACTTTGTGGCTAACGCTCACCCTTTTCTCACCCAAGTTCCGGCCAACATAGTAGCCAGCCCTGCGCCCTCTCTCGGTTCCAAGCCCAACACCACCCCCGTGGGCTGCTTGGTGGGCTTCGACGCCGACCGCCCCAGAAGCCGACACGTGGCAGCGGTGGGCAAACTGAGGGGCATCAAGTTCATGAGCCTATTCCGCTTCAAGGTGTGGTGGACCACCCACTGGGCCGGAAGCAACGGGCACGAGATGGAGCACGAAACCCAAATGCTCTTGCTTGACAAAAACCATGCACTGGGGCGCCCCTACGTGTTGCTTCTCCCCATCCTTGAAGGCTCCTTCCGAGCCTCGCTCCAACCCGGCTTCGATGACTACGTGGACGTCTGCGTGGAGAGCGGGTCCACACGTGTCACCAGCTCCAGCTTCAGGAGCTGCTTGTACATCCACGTGGGCGACGACCCCTACAGGCTTGTCAAAGAAGCAACCAAAGTGGTTAGAATGCATCTGGGGACTTTCAAGCTTCTGGAAGAAAAAACCCCACCAGGTTTGTTCATTTTTTAAAATGTAATAATATATACTTTATGCGTAGAAAAATGAATTAGAGAAAAACGATGATGTTATTTTGCAGTGATTGTGGACAAGTTCGGTTGGTGCACGTGGGACGCATTTTACTTGAAGGTGCATCCGGAGGGAGTATGGGAAGGGGTGAAGGGGTTGGTGGAGGGAGGGTGTCCGCCGGGGATGGTCCTCATCGACGACGGGTGGCAATCGGTTAGTCACGACGAGGAGGAAGAAGAGGCTGTGGACCGAACCTCAGCTGGGGACCAAATGCCTTGCAGGCTCGTGAGGTTGGAGGAGAATGACAAGTTCAGGAATTACAGGAGTGGAGGGAGGAATGGGTATGGGATGGGGGCGTTTGTTAGGGATTTGAAGGAGCGGTTTGGGAGCGTGGAGCAGGTGTACGTTTGGCACGCGCTCTGTGGGTACTGGGGTGGTGTCAGGCCTCAGGCTCCGGGCATGCCCGAAGCTAAGGTGATAACTCCGAAGCTGTCCAAAGGGTTGGGAATGACAATGGAGGATTTGGCGGTGGATAAGATTGTGAATAACGGCGTGGGACTAGTGCCACCTCACCTCGCTCACCGCTTGTTCCAGGGGATTCACTCGCGTTTGGAATCCGCCGGAATTGACGGCGTCAAGCTTGACGTTATACACGTAAGTCTGCGCCCATATTCTTTCCTTTCGTTTTTTACTACTTTAATACCTCCATTTGTATTCTTTTTTCGTTTAGCGTTAAAAATAAATTATTAAATTCTTCATTTTTATTGTATATAAATTTATTTCTTTTGTCACATTTTGAGTATAAGTCTGGTGTCAAATTAAAAATGTGAAAAGTTATGGCTTAAATACGGATGAGTACGTACGTTTATTTTGTTATTTCTACATACAAAACAAAAACCATTTTTTAATTTATTTGGAGATGAAAGTTACTAATTTTAATTTTAACATGGTACTTTTTGAATAAGCATATATCCATGCTGATCAATGTTGTCGTCTCTAATTTAATAAATTGAATATTATTTGTATCTCGTTCAAATTTTATAGATATGAATTTATTTCTTATTCTTAATACAGAAAAAAAAGAGATAAAACAAATTAAAATAAAGTGAAAGGTGACTAATAAATAATATGAAGTGACAAGAAGAAAAAAATAGACATGAAAAATAATATTATACAAATAAATAAATATTATTGTTACCGGAAAAAAAGAATAAGACATTCGGTATATTTCTTTCTATTTTTTAAATAAATAAATAAATAATAGAGAAAAATAAATATGGATAAGAAAATAAAAGTATACAGTTAAGTTTATGAAATGAAAGTGTACACTGTACAGTTAGAGAATAATTTGATAAAAAATGAAAACAAAAATTTGTTATCTCCTTTATTATTATTATTATTATTTGTAGATCATATTATTTAGATTAAGAAAAAAGATAAAAGAAAAAATATAAGTTAGTGGTGATTTGACTTTGATCACTTCATAATCATTTGACTTCGTTGTAAATGGTTACATATCAAATGTCCTCACTAGGCAAATATTCGCAATACAATGATTTTTATAATGTAACATTTTGGACGTTCAATAGTATTTTTGTATTTACGTGTTAGTCTAATAGGACCAACGATGTACAAACACTACAGTTGTCGTCATTGCAGGGTTGAAACTTGAAACTTGAGCCAAATTGTCTCAACTAGAAATGGTTTATTATGAGATTGAGAAGTGTCTCTTTCCCGTGGCACTTGTACCCTTCATAGGACCTCATCCGGTGAGTATACGAGGACCTTGCCAAAATTAGTATCAACGAGGTTTCCAACTTCGTTTCATACTTGGATGTATCATTTTACTAAAAATGTCATTTTTTAATATTGATGACGTGGGTGGGACTTAAGTTCGATCAGTAATGACTATCAAACCCAAAATTCTATAATGCTAGTTTTACGTGTTTGCCCTGTCTCCAGCGGATAATTTTTTTATTGGAACAAAATTTATGTAAAAATTCTTTAACTTTGATGAATATTATTATCCGATCATGGTTAGAGTTTTATTTTATAATATACATAAATATATATTAATAAAAAATATATTTTGCAAGAATATATTATTGAAATAAAATTTTAATTTTGATCAGAAACAATATTAACCAAATATAAGAAATTATATTTATATTTTATTTTATTTTATTTTTATTTTTTTAATGAAAGCGAAACATTGATCCAAACATAGATGTCGATGATTATAGATGAATTTGAAGTCTAATATTGCACGATTTGCGCTTTGCAGTTGCTTGAGATGCTAGCGGAGGAATACGGTGGGCGTGTTGAGTTAGCCAAAGCTTATTACAAAGCACTTACTGCTTCGGTGAAGAAGCATTTCAAAGGCAACGGAGTCATTGCCAGCATGGAGCATTGTAATGACTTCTTTCTCCTTGGCACCGAAGCCATATCCCTTGGGCGCGTAGGTAATAACCATTCCAAATTCCAACCCTCCATAGATGTAAGATGATTTCAAATTCACAATATAAAAATTTCAAAGCTTATCTGCATATCTTGCCGAACACACGTTTTTTTTTAGGGTTATTTTATAGTATTTGTCTGAGGAAATATTTTATGAGGGTTGTTTTTATAAGGTTATTACACATACTCCACAATGATGTGATGAAATATTGTCCGCTTTGAGCCTTAGTCTTCACGATTTTACTTTTAGTTATCACCCAAAAGACTTTTCTAACATTAGAGTATGTGTATATTTTATAAATTGTTATTTCTTATTTTATTTTATCGATGTGAGACTTGTTTGTATTTCAATATTTTTTTACTTTACACATTTGTTACTTAACTTAAAAATATTCACACATTTTGTCAATATGTTAAATGACTTAATGATATGAATTGATGACATGACAAATGTGTTATACCAATGATCAATGTATTATATCAGTAATGTGTCACATAAAACGGTTGACTGATGAGTGATATGATTATGTGCGAAATTTTAAAGTCGTGACAAAATATACAAATTAAAAATTTGGGTGACAAGAAAACGAAACTTGAGTATATATTTCTGAGTTCTGACGCATAATAGCTAATACAGGAGATGATTTTTGGTGCACTGATCCGTCTGGGGATCCAAATGGTACGTATTGGCTCCAAGGATGTCACATGGTGCACTGTGCCTACAACAGCTTGTGGATGGGAAATTTCATTCAGCCGGATTGGGACATGTTCCAGTCCACTCACCCTTGTGCCGAATTCCATGCTGCCTCTAGGGCCATATCTGGTGGACCCATTTACGTTAGCGACTGTGTTGGAAAGCACAACTTCAAGTTGCTCAAGACCCTCGCTTTGCCTGATGGCTCCATCTTGCGTTGTCAACATTATGCACTTCCCACACGAGACTCTTTATTTGAAGATCCATTACATGATGGCAAAACAATGCTCAAAATTTGGAATCTCAACAAAGTAAGCCACCCACTTTTTAATTTTCTTCCCCCCCATCAATTATTTACACACTATAAAGGGTCTAGTTCAGTTGATTAAATGCACTGTGGGTAATTATAAGGGATCTAATGCATGAGTTAATGTAAATCCTCTTGGTATCAAGTTTAATTTTGCTGCATAAGAAAAAAAATACTATCGAAGTTACATAGAGTAATGATTGTATCAAAGTGGTTGAAAGATTAGCATAGTAACAATATGAGTGTATGAAAAACATAACCATACATGTGACTTGAGTCCCTCTCTATAACTACCAGAGCCAAAGGTAAGAGCTAGAGAAAAAATTGTTATTCTATGTAAATAATTTGTTACAAAACTTACTACATCACGTGTGAGTTGCTTAGCCTAATTGGGATTAAGTTGGCCTGAATGCAAATAAATCAGTCTAAATGTGATTAAGTGAGCTTAAGCATAAATAGATCAACTTAGGCATGACTAAGTCAGCTCCTATGTGACCAAATCGGTGTGTATATCCACATGTCAACAGATATTGGTTATCGAAGACTTTTCCATAACGGTAGTCTGCACAATGCTTCAATCATTTGCCGATTTGTGCAGTTCTGGCTTTAGGATATTTTATCCGTAGCAACATTGAAATTATTAAGAATTTACTCAATCATTAGTGAACCTTTTATTTTGTGTTTTCTTACAGTATACAGGTGTTTTGGGAGTATTTAATTGCCAAGGAGGTGGGTGGTGCCCTGTGACTCGGCGAAACAAGAGTGCCTCTGAATTTTCACGCACTGTGACATGCTTAGCGAGTCCTGGGGATATTGAATGGAGCAACGGGAAAAGTCCAATAGACATAAAAGAAGTGGAAGTGTTTGCTCTATATTTGCTCAAGGACAACAAACTAAAGCTCATGAAGTCTTCGGAGAACTTGGAGGTTTCACTGGAGCCATTTAGTTTTGAGCTTTTGACAGTGTCTCCAGTGACAGTGTTACCAAAAAGGTTAATTCAGTTTGCTCCAATTGGACTAGTGAACATGCTTAACTCGGGTGGTGCCATTCAGTCCCTGGAGTTTGATGACCACACGGATTTGGTCAAAATTGGGGTGAGGGGTTGTGGGGAGATGAGGGTGTTTGCTTCAGAGAAGCCACTTAGTTGCACAATTGATGGGGTGGCTGTGAAATTTGATTACGAGGATAAGATGGTGAGGGTGCAAGTTCCATGGCCTAGTTCTTCAAAATTGTCAATGCTTGAGTTTTTGTTTTAATCCCTAGCAAGGTGAATTTGGGATCTTTAATGTTGGATTCTATGTTTTTAAGTAACAAGAGTCGAGTTCATTTGTTTCTTTTTTTTTTTTAATCATTTTTATAAAGCAATATCTGTCTATATTTTTAGTTTTCACTTGTATTATCTTGGAGAGATAATCTTATTTGACACCGAATTAAGTATTAGATTCAAACTCTTTTTTCGGTAGCATTAGTATGTGTTTCCATTCAATCTAATCTAACCCTATGATTAGTTGATTATATTGGAAGAGAAGTGAAAGAAAAATTTGAAATTTATATCGAAAGGAAAATAAATTTGAATATTGTTTCTAAAAGTCAACCTTTTCTTTTTAAACAAACAAAAGAGAATATATAGTATTATGTGTTTTTGATATAATTCTTCTTCTCATCGAATAGGCTGGGCTTGCAAACTTCTGCTTAAAATTTGATTTTAAATCTTAACTTGTCATGTTGTAAGAGATTAGCGGCATTTGGTAATTTCAATTCTCGTACTGCTAAAAAATAATCTACTCTTATGATATTTTAAATTTCTAAATTTTAAATCATAGTACTCTTTCTCTAAACTAGTGTTTTTATAGTTATTTTCATTTTGTTAGATCACCTAACTACTTCATTGAGTATCTATTTTTAATTTAATTTTTAAATATTGTTTTTGAATTTAATTTGACTTAAATTTTAGATCTTCGTATATTATGTCAAAGAAGTTAAGAAAATATTTCTTTTACATAAATTAAGATTTAAGATTACTACAATTTTAATCAACATTAATTTAAATTTAATTTTTAATTTATAATTTGATAAACTACATTAATGATTTATTGATTAATTATTTTTAATTATAATTTAAAATAAAATGAAAACTCATGTGAATAGCATTTGATAAGATAAATATTTTAAATAAATAAAAAATGACAGATAATATTATATAATGATATATTTAAATTTTAATTTGTATTGGTAAATAACTTTTCTACTTTTTAATAATTTTTATTATGGTGTAAAAAAAATATTAAATTTTTATAATTTAAATTTTTGTTATAAAAATGTCAAGTGGAGTTAAACAGAGTAAGAGAAAAAATATATATTCTTACTGATCAAGAATAAATGTCACACTCGAATAAAAGAATAGGAAAAACATTAATGGTGAATTGATTTGAGATTAAGTAAAAAAGTGAGTTTTTTTTTTTAAATCGTATATTCTAATTTATATATAAAAGTAGATTAATAATGAAAATATTTATTACTAGATTCGTGTTTTTATAATAATTGTTTTAGGTTGTTTTATATAAATTAAGAAACGTAATAATTTTTTTTTCTATTTTTCATATAATGATTTTAATATTTTTTTATTATATCTTATTCCTTTTTTACATCATAATAAATACATATTAATTGTTATATATAAATTAATTAATAGTTGATATAAGGATATAATTGATAATATAATAATTTATATTGTTTTAAAAATTAAAAATAATAAGTAAATAAAAATAAATTTTAATTAAAAACCTAAAAAATAAAAAAGAACGGAGGGAGTAATTTTTAATTTTTTTGGTTTAAATTTAAAAATACTTGTGTATTGTGTACAATTCAAGGTGGGCATGATTTTCCAAAACCACTCATCAGCGTGAATACAAATTCCTATAAAAGTGTCAATGGAATATGATTAGACTTGTTATTTATAATTCTTTTAGTAATTCTTTCCACAAGTGATTTCCATATTTTTCTTAATTTAACACCACTCCCATCAATTCGCACATCTTTCTTCAAAGAAAATTCCAATTAAGCTGCTATTTTCATAATTATATTGGGTGGGTGGGGAACGTATATATATATATATATATATATATAAAATAGTACCATATATTAAGTAAAACTGTAGTTGCACAGAAATTGAACAACAACATAACAGATAAGAGGAAATGAATGTGACAGCTGAAAGCTGATGAAATGTAAAAGAACTTGCCTTGGTTCCAATACTCGTAGCTGCATGACCTGCCCTTATTCCGGGGGAAGAGCCTTGAATTTTCAACTGTCATCAAAATGCAATGAAACCCATTGTTGAAGTCCAATTATATATATATATATATATCACATTTTATAATCATTAAATCGTTAAATTAAAGATTTTTAATATATAAATTAAGTCTATAAATTATTAAAAAATCATCAAATTATGAATGAGATTTATTAAATAAAGAATAAGACTTTCATAGTTTTATTTTATTTTATTTTTATCTAAATTACATATATTTTCTATTAAAGATAATCCTATTTGAGTTAAGTAAGATCACTATGAACAACAAAACTCTCTTTCCAAGTATTTAACACAACTCTATATCTAAAACTTGAACCTGAGATCACTAGTTAGTTGAAATAACCTTTTACCAGTATAATTTACAACAAATCTTATCTAATTAATAATATAAAATATTATGTTAAAAATAGTATATTAAATAATGTGTGGCTAATATTTCTCTCCTCCCTAATTTATATCATTAAAAAATTTGTATCCAAAATGATAGTAAAGAAGGGAGAGAAAGGCTTTGGCCTATAAAATCCATGATGTATCTTAATGAAAACTTTATTTACAATTCCAACATCATAGTAGTTAAAGTATGGTGATGAATTGCTGAAGATAGTTAAATATGTGTATACTTTTTAGTAATATTAGACAATTATCAATCATGTTTCATGATTTGGGGTCTTGTTTTTTACTTGGAATAAGTAATAGAACTATAATAGATTATTTTAAATGTATTTTATTTTTTATTAGATATTTTGATGATTTTGGTGTTGTTAAACATGAGAAGAACATGAGAAGAGAAAAATTAGTCAAAAGTGTTAACCTTTGAGTATGTCACTCTAGTTGTTTGAGGAGGTCTAATTGAGAGTATTTGAAGATTGACAAAAAAAAACTTGCTTAAGCAAGCCATCTTGGTTGCTTAAGCAAGTGAGGCTCAACAAGCTCAAATCCAATAATGAAAAGACATAAAAAGGACTAATAGGGGAGTTATGACCTATCTCACATTTGATGGATCTTATTTGTAAAAAGAGTTGACTACCACGTCCATCTTTTTTGTCTTCATCAATTTTTTTTTCACATGTTCATGAGAACAAAAATAGAAGGTGGAGACAAAAAGAGAGCAAAAATGGTATGTATAGGGACTAAATAAATATTTTTAACTATAGAAACTAAAATGTGAAGTATATGAATCTTTAAGGATCAAAAGAGTAATTAAACTAAACTAAAAAAATACATTAAAAATGTACTTTATATTTTCAACAAACAAAATTATAATATTGAATGTTTCATTAGTTAGGTTTGATAACAAAACACATATTGATAGTAATGTTATAACTAACAAGAAATATTCTTTTTTATTTTATTATTTTAATAATAAAATTCAATGATATGATTCAAATCAAATAGAATATAATTGGATTAAATTGATTTATATCGAAGATTGGCAAATGAAAAAATTAAATAATTCAAATCGATCAAAATTGATCGATGTCAAATGAAATTATATCTCAATTTTAATTCAATTCAATCCATGACCATCCTATTGGTAGTAGTGTTTTCATTTTTTTTTTCAAAACCATTTTTTGCTTCACCAAGTTATTTAATAATTTTGGTGTTATATGTTGACACTAGCTCTTTTAAAAGATTAGCTAAGAAGCTTTTCTGTGTAACTATAATAACTAGGCTTACATCACTTGTGTAATGTGACAATTGTTAGGCTTTTGACAAATGTATTAAATGAACAAAATTTTAAGTATAATATTTATGTAGACTTGGACAATACAAATATAAATTCAAATTCAAATTCAATTATATCCTATCTATGTTTAAAAAAATATTTTGGTTGTTGAGAAAATTAAAACAAAGACTTTAATGTAAAAAAATAATAAAGAAATATTTTTAGAACATTTCAATTGAATAAATTAAAATTGCAAATATTATAATAAATAAAAGCGTCTGGATTTGATTTGGCTAACCTTTTCACATGGAACAATCAATTGCAAATTAATAATAATATAATAATATATATACTAATAGTTTATTATACTATTATAATACTATATATATATATATATATATATATA